CATAATAACAAAAGTTACTCTTTTATCTTTGTCTCATATTAGGATACAGGTGTCCTGGCCTGCTGCTACATCTACCATTGCTCTCTCTGCTTGTAAATTGAACACCCAGAATGCCCCCCTCTTAACTGCACCTGAACCCAATTGCCCTATGTCCCCAAGATTGAGGAATTAACAAAAAAGGGGAGAATCATAACAGTGAAATGCTTTGTCTCTCTGACTCCCTCTTGTTCAAGCCTGTGTTGTTCCATGGTCTTCAGGCTAATAGCGCTTGCTTTGTCTTGCATATAGACATGCTAATCATTAGAAAAATTCTGCTTGCAGCTTGAGCTTTACAAAAACAGCCCCTCCTCTTGACGTAAAAGAAGACTGAACTCTATACTTTGTTAGGATGGATTTAAGAATTAGGTCACCCATCTCCTTGGTTGGCTCCTTCCCAATCAATAAACTTTTCCTTCCTTCAAATTCTGACATTTTGAGTTTGGGCCTTTCATAGCTTTGAGTATACAGGTTTGTTAATCTTTAGACATGACCAGCAGAAATTTGAGACTAATTGCATCTGATGATTCTTTTGTAATCCAATAATCTCTGGGAATGGGACAAAGTATTGAGTATCAAAATATGGGACCTTGTTACTCAAAGTGTGATTGAGAACTACAGCAGCAGTTGGGAATCCATTGGAAGTATGAATCATCGGGTTCCACTCCAGACCTAATTGAATCAGAAATTCTGGGGGTGGATGCAGAATTTTTTTCTTATTGAAGTAAAATACATATAACATAAAATTCACCATTTAATCATTTTAAGATATACAATTCAGTAGCATTTAGTACATTCACAATGTTGTGCAACCATCACCACTGTCTAGTTCCATAATAATTTCAGTGCCCCAGAAGGAAATCCCATACCCATTAAGCAATCACTTCTCATACCGTCTCCTTTCAACCTCTAATATGCTTCCTATCTCTATGAGTATGCCTAATTTAGACATTTCATATCAATGAGCCCAATATGTGGCCTTTCATGTTTGGCTTCCATCACTTACCATAATCTTTACAAGGTCCATCCACTCTATACCATGTATCAGTGCTTCACTCCTATTTGTGGATTAATACTATTCCAGTATGGATAGACCACATTTTTATCAATTCACCAGTTGATGGATCTTTGAGTCATTTCCACCTCTGGCTATTATGAATAAAGATACTATAAACATCCATGTGCAAGTTGTTTGAACACCGATTTTCTGTTCTCTTGTATATATACTTAGAGGTGGGATTGCTGGGCCACAATTAACTGTTTAACTTAATGAGGAACCACCAAATGTTTTCCTCAGAGGCTACACCATTTTACATTCTTACCAGCAATTCAGGAGAGTTCCAATTTCTCCACACCTTTGCCATCAAGTGTTGTTTTCAGGTTTTTTGATTAAGCCGTTTTAGTGGGTGTGAAATGTTATCTCATTGTAGTTTTGACTTCCTGTAGTTGTTTTTTAAGTAGCCCTCCTGGTGATTCTAAAACATCCGAAGTTTGATAAAGCTGTCCAGAGATGAGTAGTATCTACTTAAGAACTAGTTATAGAAATGCAGACTCTTCAGTTTCCTCTCATACCAACTCAGTCAAAATCTACATTTTAACAGAGATCCCAGGTGATCATACAGTGTTTGAGAAGCATTTGTATAAGAGACAGGCTTAAATTGTTAACACCTCCCCACTCATTTAAACACACTAGAGTAGAGTCTGTTTTTTGTCCCCCGTTTTCCTCATATGTCTTTGTTTGATAGTCTGGAAAAGTGAGAACAACACAGAACTTAGAGTAAAACAGACAGACCAGGTTGGTTACCAACCCTGACTCCAGTGCTTACTAGCTGGATTTATCTGGACTCGAAGGTCCTTGACATAGAAAAGGAATCAATACCCACATCCTGCAGACCTTCAAATTAAGTGACTTCAGGCATCTAATACAACTTAGCGCAAAGAAGTTTCCTCGGTCTTATTCTACTCTCTTCCCTTTTCCTTAACACTAGCCTTGCTATTATGTGAGAGTTTCAGGGAAACAACTCTCAGCTTTGGCTTCTTTATATCATGGAACAGCTGAGGTGCTGGCTGAATGATTAGCCAGATGATTCCTTTCAGGCAGCCAGCTCAGCAAGAAAATGTCCAGAAATGATCTCCCAGTCAACTTATTTAAACTAAGACCAGGCACAAACCTGAAACCATGAACTCTGCTGGATACCTCTAATTTGTAGACTTGTAACAATCTCCAAGGCTACTTACTTTGTTGTAAAGTAATTTTAATCTGTTTTAACTAGTACCCGTGCTAAGCACTCAGAATGCATAATGTATTTATATCTAAAACCAAGACCAGAGGTTCTCAACTAGAGATGATTTTGCATGAAACCCTCTAGCCAAAGTGAACATGTACCAATGTCTGAAGATTCGTCCCCCCTGGTGCTTGATGCTACTTATATTTAGTGGGTTAAGAACACAGATGCTGCTAAACATCTTACAATGCATCAGACAGCTTCTCCACAGAAAAAATTAGCCTCCCCGCAAATATCTATATAGCTGAGATTGTGAAACACTGCCTAGACCCAGTTGCTCGGTCACCCAACCATTAACATGATAAAGTGGACACATAAACAAGTAAGGTGATAAAATAGACACATAGATTGTCCAGCTAGTAATAGAAGAGCAGTATTCAAACCACAAGTGGCTCAAAATCCCTGAGTCCTGAGTTGTTTTATAAGGTTTGTTTTCAACCATTCTTGTTCAAGCCAAGCTTGCAACTGTACACAGATTTTACTCTCTGATTTCTTAAGAGGAAAACTGTCCAGAAAAGGCTTTTAGACCTCTCAAACATTTTTCAGTCGCCCTTTCTACAATCAAAAAGTTGCCTCCCAATTCCTCTGATCCTTAGTTAAATATTTATCTAACTGCCATGCCAGGATTTCGGTTTAAGAGCTATTCTATTTATGTGGGAGGGATGATAAACACGATTACAGGAGATAAAATTCTACTAGAGTGGATATGGTCAAATCTAAAAGTGGTTACCTGTTAGGAGCTAGTGTGTGACAGGGAGCAGCAGGAGTGGTCACAATTGGGTGGTGATGCCAGCAGCTGGTAGGATAAAAAAACCCACAAGTGGACAATACAGCCAGCCTCTTCCCCAGATGTCATGGTAGATGGCTTTTAGGTCTCTAACTCACTACATATCAGATGTGGCTGATGCTGAACATGTGTCATTTCATCTCATCTCACCACATCCCTAAGAAGAAGCAATTATCCCCATGGTTAACGAGGACGCTGCAACCCAGAGGTTCAGGACTTTGTCCTAGGTCACTCAATTGTCGGTGGATCAAAACCTAGGCAATTTGTCTCCGCTCCACTTTACTGGCCTTCTCTCCTGTTTGAAACCTGATTCTAACTATATAGCTACATGATGTCTCTCTCTTTCTGTTTCTTGTTCCTTTCTTTAGGAATGAGAGATGTGGGAGGGAAGAATGTATTAATAATTTGATTGATTCTTTCATGCATCTCCTACAGAATAATTTAAAGAAATAATGTTTCTCCCCTACTCCAATCCTTATAAGAGTGAGGCAGGAGGATAAGAGTCAAGGAGAGCTTGGAAGATGGAAGAAGGGGCCATGAGCTAAGGACTGTAGGTGGTTTACAGAAGCTAGAAAAGTCAGGGAACTGATTTTTAGAGACTCCAGAAAGAACGCAGCTCTCCTAATACCTTGATTCTAGCCGAGTGAGACCTCTGATCTTAAGAACTGTAAGATAAATTTTTATTGTTTAGGCACTAAATTTGTGGTTATTTGCCAAATTTGTGGTTATTTGCCAAAGCAGCAATAGTAAAGTAATACACCTGGGTTGATGGTGCCTCTACCCATCCTCCCTGGCTGCCATCCTCCCCCCAATCCCCATTCTCACACACATTGAAAATACCTACTGTGTGGGCTGGTCTTAATACCCAGGAACTGGCTGTTCATACCAAGGCTGACTCTGCCCAAGGTCTTCCAAGCACCCCTAGTGTGCTGGCTGGAAAATTACTGCTTGGCTATCGCCCATGGGAACATAGGCTATCACCCATGGGAACATAACATTCTAACAATAAGCTTTCTGCTTCTGTACCCCCACTGGCACAACCGACCTGTGGGTTGACAGGTAGTGAATAGGAGAAAAATAGACCTTTGTGTTTAAGACAGAATGAGGAATGGGATTTAGGGCTTAAAAACCCTGTACCTCTACATTTCAGGGCTGCTTAATTTGGGGTCTGCGTACCCCTGGCAGACCCAGCTGGCTGAATAAAGAGTGTGATTCCTATGACTCACTAATTCTTGGTGGTCCGTGTGTCTTTTGGGGGCTGGCGGCTACAACACTAGAGGATATCTTTTATCACACGTATGTGATGTCACATAGATGGGCATTGCTTATGAAAGGAAGATTGTTAAACCCTTGATTCAAGTTGTTGACTCTGTTCTTTCAAGTGGAGAGAGGTAAATCATCAAATGTCATGCCCTGACCCAGTTGCCTTAGATTGCAAAATGATAAGAATGATCTTATGAAAAACACATGGAGTTCTGACAGTGTCAACAGTGTGAAGACATTTACCTACTCATCTCACAGTGAACAAAAGATTGTGGCAAGTTTAGGGAGAGTTAAAAACAGATTAGCTGTAATGTTGACATTAACCATATGTGGGATTTCCTGTCCAGACTAGGAAGCTTGTACAGTGGAAGTCACTTTGTGAAGATTTGCCACAACTCCAAACTCCCAATAATGAATAGATGAGTTAGAAGAGTTTATACATGAAAAGATTTGAAAAGGAGAGAAACGTTTTATTGTATTTAGATCAACAGTAAACATACAGTTTGACCAACCTTGACCCAGCCCTGCATGAACATGTCCTGCTTTCTTGTTCAGCCCACAAAGAACTCAGCAAGCCTCCTCTTGCACAATGGTCCACCACATAAACTTGCGGAGAAGGGTCAACTCACCTGCCATGCTGCTGACGTTCACCAGCCTTCCCTTGGATTTCCTAAGAAGAGGCAAAAATGACTTCGTGACTTCCACAGCCCCAAAGAAATTCACAGCCATGCAGTTTTTGTAGTCAGTCATGGGAATGAGCTCCCCATCAGTGGGCAAACCAAGGATCCCAGCATTGTTGACCACAGCCCACAGTCCTGAGAATAGAAAGGAATGGGTGAGACTGAAGAGAAGGACGATTTTTAACACTTCAAGTTCTGGGGTCAAAGGGGCCTCTTTGAGATTTAGGATCTAGGAAGATCACTCAAACTCTCAAATCTCAAATCTTATTGAATACCTACAACCACTTACACTGAGGGACTGTGTGGGGAGTAAATTTGTGAAATATCAAACAATGTTATTTTTTGGAGGTGTTTTATCTCAAAGCCCTTTCCTACATCCAGGCAGCTAGATATTTGTTATGTCGGGGAAGGGATGGCACAGCAAGGTGAAGAGTATAAGTCTACTTCATGTTTCTCCCTCCAAGGAGTGTGTAGAGACAGGATAACAGCTCTAGGACAATGCAGGATGATGTAAGAGCCTCTTTTCTCTTTTCCTTAGGCTAGATTTCCTAGTCCAGAGAAACAGGAAAACTAGAGTGCAGGTGCCAAGAACTAAGAAGGTTGCAGAGTCCCAGAGCCCTATTATTTTCTCTAACCAGTCTGATCTCCTTGATCAGAATCACCAGGAGGGCTTATTCAAACACAGATTGCTAGCCCCTCCTTCAGAGAGTCTGATTTGGGATGTCCTGAGTGGGGCCTGAGAATATGCATTTCTAATAAGTTCCCAGGCCTGCACCACACTTGAAGAACCACTGTCCACAAATAGTGGTTTTCAACCTTGAGTGTACATTAAGATCACTGGGTGGGGTGGGGAGAGCTTTTTAAAATCCTAATGCCCAAACTATATTCAATTAGATCAGGAACTCTGGGTGTGGGTCCCAGGACTGGTGGGTCCCAGATCTGACTGTGACTCAGGCTTGCAGCTAGGAATAGAACCCCAGGTTTAGAATGTTACATTAGTGTAGTAGGGCGCCTGTGCCTAAAATATGCAAATATAATTCAGCTTACTATATCGCGCATGTGTGGCTAAATGCCACTATTGTACTCTGCTATGTGTGGAGCCATGCGGTCCCCTGGGGAGCCGAAGGAGAGCACAAGAAGGGGAGCAGGAGAAGTGCGCACAACACTGCACTCCCCTCAACAGAACTGAGCTCAGCACAAAAAAGTTGGTGCCGTTTCATTCTCAGGTCTGCCTTTTGTGCATTCTTCCAACTGGGCATTTCATCATCGAACCTTCCCTTCTCAATCAGCTCAGTACTGATACTGGGGTAGGGTAGAGAGGGGACCTGGGCATTAGTAGTTTTTAAAATTCTCCAGGTGATTGCAATGTACAAGCAAGCTTGGAAACCATTGCCTCAAATAGTAGAAAGAGGTAACAAAAACTCCAGATGTTTCGGGGGGTGAGAGATCTGGAGCTTTGGTGAGTGACCTGGGTCTTCTTTATCTGGGAGGAACAGAGGTGACAGGACCTGGGGTGTATTTAGCTAGACGGGCCTGAAGTAGATTCTCTGCGTTCCCCCTCAGCATGATTTAGAACATTGGTTCTCAAGGCATAGTCTAGAACCAGCAAAATCCTCATTGACTGGGAACTTTTTAGAAATGCCAGTTCTGGGACCCCACCTCCGACCTGCTAGATCAGAGACTGGTGATCAGAAATTGTTAAAGCTCAGCATCCGGTACAACCTGCCCTCCAGGCAATCCTGATGCATGCTCAAGTGTGAGAATCTGTGGTATGTACAGGAGAGGAACGAGCCTTGGTGCTGGCAGAGGCACAGAAATGGCAGGAGGCACCAGCCCTAATGGTGCCTTTCTGATGGCATCAAGGAAGTACGTAGCAGCTAACTTATGTGAGTACTGGACAGAGCTAGACATATCCACAGGGGCATATCCACATGATGTGTTGGCAATCCAAGACTAAATGTCCTATCCTGAGGAAAATGAGATGAAGCTCAAAATGACAGAAATTGATTTTGCCACATGGCAGAAAAATGGCTCAAAATAGAAACTGAATTCAAATATATAAAGTAAAGTTACATTTCTTTCACACCCAAGGTGGTGGTCTGACATTTATGCACAATAATTATTGGGAGCATCCGAGGACCGGATGCCTCATAGGTAGTAAGAGCTCAACGCCTATTATTGAGCATGGTGATGGATGAAGAGATGCCTCCACTAGCATCTCCAAGTGAGGGTTTTAATTCACTCAGCCTGATGCACACCTTTGACCAGTCAACACACAGACAGTAGCTTAAGAATGCCCTAGAACAGGGGTTGGCAACCTTTTTCTACAAAAGGTCAGATAATAAACATATTAGCATTAGCATTGCAGGTCCTACTATCTCAACTCTGCCATTACCATGTGAGAGAAGCCGGATTATCTGTAAATAAATGGACCTGGTCATGCACTAATGAAACTTGATGTATGGGTATTGACGTTTGAATTCCATATAATTTTACATGTGTCAAAAAAATTCTGATTTTTTAAAAAACATTTAAAAATGTAAAAAATATCCTTAGCTCACAGGCTGTATACAAAAACAGGTGGCAGAGCTATATAATAATCTTTAAATGACAAAGAGATAGAGAACAGATTAGTGATTGCCAGGGGTTAGGGATGCGAATATGGCTCTAAAAAGGTAGAATGAGAAAGGCTGATAGTGATGGAACAGTTCTGTAACTTGATTGTGGTGATTTTTGCACAAAGCTACAAGTTACCAAATTGCAGAGCTATACACACATGCACATACACACTTGGCATGTATAGCTGGTGAAATATGAGTAAACTTTGGATTGTATCAATGCCAGCTTCCTGGTTTTGCTATTGTGCTATAGTTATGCAAGATGTTAATACTGGGGGAGGCTTGGCAAAAGATGCAAATGATCTCCCTGTACATTTCTTTGCAATTTGATCTACAATTATTTCAAAATGAAATGATAAAAAAATGCAAGGCCAACTCCTGCCACAGAATTCTAAGCTGGCCAATCAGCTCATTATACCTATAAGACTTAATAACAGTTTTAAAATAATATTAATTAATAATTAACAATATATTAATACTAATATAGAGATATGCTGTGTAGGAACACAGCACAGTTGCTGGCCCTCTTCCAGGAGCTAAGGTTTTCTAGTTTATCTACAGGTACCAGATGGTCTTTTAGCAAACATCCTTCTTGGTGATCATAAAGCCCTCTGTTTCACTGCTCTACATTCTCTTTGATTCGGGAGGCTGGAGTTAAGAGACTTCAAGGACAGCAGGCAGAATGTGTACTGGCAATCATGTGTCAGAAGAGGATGGCTCTCCAGAATGCTGACTCCAAAACAGCATGGGCTCACACCTTTGCAAGTGTGTTCACCACACCTCTTCATTCCTGGGCTGTGGCATGGTATTTCCATATCTAGAACTCCCTGCCTTATTGTTTAATATGGTCAATACCACCCCTCTGGGTCTCACTAGAGGGGTATGTGTGAATATCTCCTTGAATAAAATACCATGAAATCAAACTCATCAGAGGAACAAGCTCAATCCAATCAGATAGCAAAAGACCACGCTAGGAAAACTACCTTTCTAGAAAACGATTATACATTACTAAATTTGCTGAAAGTTGATTCCTAATAACCAACAATCGATTTTTTTCTCCTTTCATTTCTTAGATATTTATTGACTATTTACTGTGTCAGGGACTGTGCTTAATGTTGAATGAATGGAAAACAGGAGCCCTTACTGGAGACTTGCCTCATGCCAGAAACTCTTCTAATTGCTCTCTGTGTAATAACTGCTTTTTCAACTACTAAATGAAGCCAAATAACATTACTCTCTTTTTTTTTTGTAAAAGAACGAAAAAGTTGTTGGAAGTGCCGGAGGCTTCCATGAAAATCCCCCATAATGAAACCAGTGCAAGAGAAAGTAGAGCTAAGAAACAGACCGGTTCTTGATGACATTGCTTAAGTGCCTGGATCCAGACATACCTGAAGCCAACTGGCCTTTTCAGTTACATGAGCAAATACATTCCCTTTCTGCTTTAGCAACTTTGAATTGGGTCGTGTCACTTGTGTCTAAAAGAATCCTAATGGAAATATGGTTCTGGTTCTCAAGGAACCTAATGCTGAGGAGTGGGAGATAAACAGATAGTTATAATAACACAGTAATACAGGTGTGTCCAAGGTACAAGTGAGGGTCCAGAAGAGGGAGTGAATGAAAGAAGATCCTGCAAGAGACGCTATGTTTGAGCCAGGTCTCCTGTGGGAGTAGTGTCTGCCGGCAAGAGTCTTAGAGAAAGGGAGTGAGGCAAGAAGGAAATTTTGGCAAGAAGAAGCTGGATATGCAAAGATATGAACTAGCACATTCTATCCTGGAAACCATTCAGAATTTACTGAGTGGACCAGCAGGTATTGCAGATTAAATGTTTGGCAGGGGCATTGTCCTGAAAGCCCTTCAAATCCTTGTTAAAGAGTTTAGATTTTATTTGGTGATGGGTAGAGAACCACTGAACCATTTAATGAGACAAAGCAAAACACCTACACAGGCCTGGCCCATGGGAGGAACCCAAGACATGAAGGCTCTGCATGTCAAAGGGTTGTTAGGAGATGGATGACATTGTAAGATGTACACATTCATTGTAAAGATTACTCTCCATTTGGAAAGTAATGGAGAAGGTAAAACTCAGATGCAAGGAGATCATTGCAAGAGCCCACGTGGGAGATGAGGACCTGGATTGAGCCACAGTTGCCTGGAGATGGTAGGAAGGGGCTGGGTTGATAAAGATCTAGGAGGTAGAATTGACAGGACTTGGGACCAAAATGATGCAGGGATCAAGGGTAGCTGCAGATCTAAGTGACCCCTAGGTTGCCTGCTTGAATGACTGATGAGGTGGCAGTATTAGCATCTACACCACGAGGTGCCAGAGGGTAAACTGATTTGCAGACTGGCAGCAAAGGAAAATAAAATGAGGTCATTTTTTGACAAATCGAGGTGCGGTATCTGATAGACAGTTTTATATACATATAATTCAGGATGTTAAGGAGAGGGCTAGGTTTGGTCATACACATTTGGAAGCTACTTAAATCCCAGCTGCTTAAATCTCACTGTTTCTCAACTCTTGCAGAACATTAGCATTGTCTGGGGAGCTTTAAAACATACTGATACCTGGGACCCCCAAAGAGGATCTTCTTTACAGCTGACATTCCCAGCAAAAGAAAAGCAACAGTACCAGCCTCACTGCTGAAGGATTAACTGAGTTACTGTAGGTAGATTCTGATGTAGTTGGTTCGGGAAGGGATGCCCAGGATGGGTTGGTATCAGGGTATGGAGTTTCAGAATGGCCTCATGTTTGGTTGAATTCTCGGCTGGCACTATCTTAAAGTCTTAATCATTTTTTTTAACAAGGGGCCCCACACAATTTTTATTTTGCACTGAGCCTCCCAACTTATGTAGCCCATTCTGGACCCAAGCATGGATATTTTCAAAGACTTCCCAGTTGAAATGCCTGGTATAGAGAGAGAACAGTATAGCCCAAAAAATGTGGAGTAGAAAATTTGGGGATGGAGCCCTCGGTAACATTCACATTCATGGGCAGGGACGGAGGTGGAGGAAGAGGTTCGTACGGGGGAAGCAGACAGAATGATTGGAGAACTAAGAAGGCAATAGTGGGCTGGCAACCCTAAAGGCAAGGTAGGGGAGGGTGATTGATACATTTAAATACTACAGAGAAGTTAAGAGCTGGGTGTTTAGGATTATACTGATTAGCTTGGCCAGACCAGCTGGAAATGCATGGTGAGAGCCAATGTTGTATTGAAGGTAAAGAAGTAAAAACAGAGGGCAGGCAATAGGGTTCCGGAGCTTGGCCACAAAGGAAGGGGAAGAGAAAGGGCAGTGATTTAAAAAAGACCGTGATTACTAGGCTTTTTTTTTTTTTTTCAAGTCTAATGAATGTTAATATTGGAGGGAGGAAAGAAATGAGGAGGGGGTGGGGGTGATGATGAATGGGATAAAGAATTCTGTAAGTTCTGTGAGAACAGATCATGCCTGACTCATTCCTAAGGTCTTCTCGTCTGTGAGAGGCCCTGGAATGTGGCAGGTGCACCGTACAGGTGTTCAGGGATGATCAGCAGCCAGAATGGGTGAGAGGGATGTTAATATTGGAGGGAGGAAAGAAATGAGGAGGGGGTGGGGGTGATGATGAATGGGATAAAGAATTCTGTAAGTTCTGTGAGAACAGATCATGCCTGACTCATTCCTAAGGTCTTCACGTCTGTGAGAGGCCCTGGAATGTGGCAGGTGCACCGTACAGGTGTTCAGGGATGATCAGCAGCCAGAATGGGTGAGAGGGCAGTGGGAATTAGAGGCTGGAACCCACGCTGGCATTTGCAAGGAGGTGGAAGACAATCGCGGGCACAGGTGGCTGAAGGCAGTACCTCTGTTCTGCACCTTTTCCACCACTTTGCTGTAGGCGTCTTTTATCTGCTGCGGGTTGGTGACATCCAGATGGAGCACAGAGAGGCGCTTAGAGCAGGTTCTTCGCAATTCCTCCGCTCCTGATCCCTTTTCATTCTGAACTCCGGCAAACACTGTGAAGCCCAGCTTGTCCAGATACTTGGACAAAGCATGACCAAACCCGGAATCACTACCTGCAAGGGGTCAAGGCAAGACAAAGTGGGCTCCAACTAGGGGGGTAAGAGAAATCATTTAGTAAGGAAACACAGAATGCTATTTTTGATGGTTCACATTCTCAGGAGAAAGTGGGTCTTGAGGAAACTTCTTTATTTGCTAAATGGGAAATGGACAGAGAAGTCAAAACAGACAAATTTCTCTGTATAAAAAAAGGGTAATGAGTGAAAATTTGGGATGAGGCCACACATGGAAGTAGAAACACTGACAGGGGATTGTCTAGGAGTGGCTGGTGGCCAAGGAACCTGGGAGGGAATAAAATCTCTCCTTACTAAATCTGGATTTTTTTTTTTTAATTTGACAATGAATTAATAAAGCCAAAGTTCACAGGAGGCCATCAGCTTGTACTTACCGGTGAGGAAAGGCAGCATAGAGGCCTGAGTATAAGCCTGGCCTCACCATCCCTACCTATGCAACCCTGATCCATGTTGAGAGTAACTGACTCAAAATAAGTACTCAGCAAACATTTGCTGAGTTGGATGCCTACTCCCATAGCGGGGTGGGGGAAATGCTAGGGTTGGTTTTAAGCTATGCCCTTTGAGATAGATCATTCTGTCTGTGGCCTGGAAATCCATCCACTTGGAGTAAGCAAGGACTAGAGGACTTGCCAAGATTGGAGTGAATTTTAAATAATAATTCGTCTAAAAGTATTAATATAGTCTCAAATTATGTACAAAATGGAAAAAGAATTAAGAATCGTGGTTTCAAAACTGGTGGCCTAATTTTAAGTAGATTTATGCTGTTGCCACATGGTGGCGCTGTATTAGCTGATGAACAGAAATCTATCCCAGAGTATGTTGGGTGGAGTCTTGAATTAGGCAAGTTGTGGATTGAGTTCAGGATTGATTTGGGGCCAGCTCTTTAAATAAAACACACCCATCCTATAAAGATAAGATTGCATGTGTTCTTGGACACAAGCTGGAAGCTACATTTGAGAAGAGGGATGAAGAGAAAAATGCATGCCTGTAAATGATGTCTAGTCATTATTAAAACATAAAAGGAAAAAAAAAGTTTTAAGATCAGCAATGAATAAAAAAAAATTATTTATAACTTCACCAATCTAGTATAGCTTTAATAATTTTCTTGTTTTTTTCAGCCTTTTTTCTATAGTTTTTAAATAATTATAGCTATAGCACACATATTTTGATAATTAATTTTTAAATTAGTATTATATAAACCGGTTTTGTATGTTCTACATAATCTTCGAAACCATAAACCCTAATTTTTCATTACCAGATAAAATTCTCCCTATTAAAATGCAGCAGAGAAAAGTGGTGAGAGCCTGGATTCTGGAGCCAGGACACTTGGGTTCAAATCCTGACTCTTCCACTTAGCTGTGTGACTTTGGGTAATCGCTTGACCTCTCTGTCTCAGTTTCCTCATCTATAAAGTGGAGTGATACTAAAACCTGCCTCATAGGGTTGTTAGAGGATTAAATGATTTGATCTATTAAAGTAATTGGAACAGGGCATGGCACATGGCAGTTGCTATACAGGTGTTTAAGTAAATGGCAACTTTCAAAAACTTCTTTCATTGGCTACTTTTAGTTCCCGGAACCAAAAGAATTTTCAGTTCAGTTTTTATCTCACAAGGTCCTACTATGTATCACTAAGAGTACATGGTCTAAATATGTGTTTGGCTAATATTAAATTTTATAAAACTTTAATATTTCAAATAGGGTGATTTCACCTGGAAATCCTGGTCACTGTTTTCTCTTGATTAACCAGGAAATGGACCAACTCCAGGCCTGCATTTCTGCAAAGAACCCATAAGCTGAAGCTGAGGCTACCAGTGGCCGACCCCTTATACAGGCCATTTTCTCAGTTAAAACAAGGCTCCGTGCTCAGTCATGTGCACGTACATCTCCACTGCTAGCATTCTTTATTGATGTAACCTGCCCCACTTCTGTAACCTTTGAGCCCAAGACCCTTGACATACTTAGTCCCATTTACACATGTCCTCTGGGTCAAAAGCTGTTTATCTGGAAACCTGTGGAAAACTAAGGAGAGGAGCTCTTCCCTCCCTGTTTAAGATTTAAGCAATCCATCAGATTGCCACCCTTGTGTTGACACTGCCTGTTCTCAATAAAATAGATTAAGGTATTATAAAATGGTAGGTAAACAAAACTAGTGCATTTAAGACTTCTCTGAGAGCCATGCAAAGCTCCGCTCCTAATCCAGGAAGAGCAATTGTACCACCAATACCCCATTCTTCTTGCCCATGGCACTCTAAAAGGATGGTAACTGTTAGGTGGTAAAGGAAATAACTAGAGCTTTCATATGTATTTTTTAATGGAAATAAATTCATTTTTCCTGGAATATAACCTTTACAAATAATCCTCCCATGCCATTGTTATTCCTATATGAAGATAGGCAACTGAGATGCTGAGATATAAAATATTTCTTCCAGGCTACACAGCTACGATGTGCTAGGATCAGCTCTTAAATCCAAATTTGTTTTTTTCTAAAGCATATTCTTTTACTGATTCACTGTCTCCTTGAGCACAGGGTAGGGGGAAAGGGGATGCACAAAGTAGAAACACCAGTGATGGGAGATATCTGCCAGAGAGGGGTCCCCATAACTGGTGCCAGCTCCCTTCACAGAGGATGGACTCGCTTCACCCGAGCAACAGCACAAACCACTTACAGCTGCTTTTCCAGAAGGGAAAATGTAATAGTTTTTTTTCTCATTCGTGCATGAGGAAACAACTCCTAGCCTTGCTGCAAAATAAGCAACCAATCAATGTAGCCCTGCTACATTGATCAAGTGGCTGGATTCCCAGACCATGGTCCAGTCCTGATGGCTCTCTTGAACTCTACCTGCCGGCCCCACTCCCAACTCAAGTGGAATTCATCACCAATTGCCCCCAATTGCTTCATCTTCTGGAACTGCTTATTCTCCTGAATGGCGCTACCCTCCTTCCAGTTACCCAGGACCAGTGCCTTCTCTCCCAGTCCCCACTTCCATTCAGTACCCATGTTTTTCATCCCAAGATTCTGACATCTATCTCCATATTTCCTTTTCTGCAACTCATGGCAAAGAAGCTAGCTCAACTCAGCTCAGCCTGGCATCAGATTGCCACCAAGTTGGGGATATACATTCTCAGGGGCAGCAGAAAATGATATCATAATTGTCCCAATTTTCATACTGCATCTGTTAAGAATATTCCAGTTAAGAACCGCTGGACATGACTCTCAATACCAACATCCTGAAATTGATGCTGATGGGAATGCTGTGCAGTCAACCTAAATGGCCAGAATTTCAGAAATCCTCAGCCAAAACCAGAGGCCATTAGAAGGAGTTAAGTATCCAGACAAGGGTGGAACATCTTTCTTTTGGCAGAACTTAGGGGACTCAGCAAAAGCTTCCCAGCCTCATTTTCTCTACAAAGGTGTCTTTGTAGAGACTCAGGGAAAACTTTTTTTTTTTTTCCATCTATTAAATGCCCACCTCCTCAAACAGAAAATAAGAACCTATCCAATAGTTGGTAACCATGACCATAACAAAAGGTGGTGCTCTGGCTTCCCCTCAATGTCACTTTTAACTTCTAATACTGCTTTCTGCCTCTCTTCACATTCATTCACTCATTTATTCATACTTCAGAGATCACTGTGGTAAGTCCTAGAAATATCACCATAAAAGAGAGACATCTCCCCACCTTCACGAAGCTTACTGCCTATAATAACAGGTTCTCAATCTTGAGTCCCACCAGAATCCTTGAGACACTGAAAAAAATATCTGCCCAGACCCCACCCCCAGAGAGTCTTATTTAGTTAGTCCGGATGGAGCCAAGTATCGGCGACAGTTTCTAAAGCTCTCCAGTATGCTTTTGGGGATGATTCCAATGTGTAGCCAAGGTTGAGAAACACTGACCTAAGGCAGGGATCTCAACCAGGGATGACTTTGCCCCCCAGAATATTTGGCAATGTTTGGAGACATTTTGGGTTGTCACAACACTGAGACTGTTATTGGCATTCAGGAGCTAGATGCCAGGGATGTTCCTCAACATCTTATAGTACACAAGGTAGCTCCCACCACAAAGAGTTATCTTGCCTTAAATGGCCATAGTTGGAGCAACCCTGAGATTGAG